GGCTGAGACTGGCGTTATTTGGGGAGGAACAGATGGATCTCCCCAGTAGATTTGAGTCGGTTAACCCAACCAGCCTACTGAGATACGCGGAAGCGACAGGACTAACGTTTTGAATAAGACGACCTAGCGAATATTGGCGCACAATGGACCCAAAGGGGTCGACGTGCTTAAAGCCAAAAAAAAAAAAAAAAAAAAAATGGTAACAAAGTGATAAAGTAAACCACTTTATCGATGTAACTTAGTTATTACTTTACAATATAACTTTATTATGTTGATAACTTCATAGGTTTGTACCTTTATTTAATAAGTTCCTAACTTTGTCACTATTACTTATCATGTTAATTTAAATAATTTTAATTTAATGGTAACAGTAGAAAATATAATATTTTTTTATGAAACAAAGAAACAGAATAAAATAAATGAAGTTTTTTTATTTTATTTTTTTTTAGTTATTTGGTAATAATTACTTCCAATTAGCAACAATTGAATATATTTCTTATACGTTACATGTTAACAAGTTTACGTTTGGGTACATTTACTCCCATCTTCAGAACTACAATTCAAGTGATCTTGTAGATGCAAGGCTAAACAATTTTTTAAGGTAATTACAAATTTATTGTAACAACAAAATTCTAACATGTAATGTAAAATGCACTATATTTTGACTCAAACAATTTTTTAACCTTGCATCCACAAGATCATTGGAATTGTAGTTCTGAAGATGGGAGTAAATGTCCCGAAACGTAAACTTGTTAACATGTAATGTTGATAATATAAGAAAAAGATGAATAGCTTTGTTTTGTAACTGAAATAATCCATTCAGATAGGTACTTAGAACAAAACTTTTGTCAATGAAAATTAAAATATAAACAATAAAAAAATGTATTTTAATTAATATAAAATAAGAAATCTAAACTCTATGTAGTATAAAGTCATTTACTAGCAGATAAATAAGTTAAAAAAACAAATAATAAAAAGGAAGATAGAAAGCTATTTTACAAGCAGAGATATCCCATAAATCATATAATTTTCGAATGATAAAAAGTGTATATATTTCTTTCTTTTTTTCAATGTAGCACAAATGTAACATAAATTCAAATAGAAAGGAAAGCAAAAATAAAGTGAAAGATAATAAAAAATCAATAATTTAATCAAAATGCATAAAGATTAAATTTAACACATCTTTCTAAAATAAGAAACAAAGATATTTACAGAAAGAAACATCATAATTTTCTAAATACATGAATTAAGAAATTGTTTTAGCTTTCAGAGGAATTATTATAGCATAAAAGTTTACAAAATCATTACCATAAAATATTAATAATTTAATAACTAGATTAACATAATAAATCAATGGAGAGAATTTTTACATGATATTGAAAGGAATAGTTTTCTTTTCACCGTTTATTTTTTAAGAAGTACAAATGATTTTTTTATACTACATCTTTCTAAACAGTTAGTAGTAAAAATTCCATAATACAGTACAAAGGAATAGTTAGCATTTCTTAAGAAACGTTTATGCCAAGATCGCTCGAAATCATCCGAGCATTTCTACAGAGTTGATCCATCATCATAACACTACCTCAACAGCAGTATAATATCTCGCCGCTTCAACGGGTCTATTTATTTGTATCAAAGATAAGCCTAATTGGATAATCAAAATATTCCTCAAAATTCGATTAAAATATTTGATTGACAAAAGGCACATTTTAAGTGTTGTTAAACACAGCATTCAGGTCCAACGGTTCTTCTTCAGATAGCTAATTTGGGGGAGGAAATTCTATTAAATCAAAATAGAACGATACTGTTATGATAAAAAATTTGCAGTTGGACATTTTTAAACTCCTTTACAGATATGAAAATCCTTCTTTTCCAAGAAGACGGTGAAACCATGATCTTCACTGATTCTGTGATCACATGGTCTATATGGTGTACTAGTAGCCATGGTATCAAGGGGTATAGCATGAAAAAATTCTAACATGATTCAAGGATCTCAAGAGTGTGAACTATAAAATTCAAGGAGCTTTTCATCAATTCATTGAGCTAAATTTAAAAAAATTCAGAACCATAAAATATTGTATTTGGTCATCATCAGGTAAAATGTAAAAATCGGACCTGATAATGAATACCAATAATTCTAAATATTGTATCCCTGTTAGGTAATGAAACATTTTAAACCAACTTAATACACAGAGCTCAGCAGATGACCAAAAATTAAAATAACTAGAAAATACAGCACAGAAAAAATAATTTCAAAGCAAATATAATTCAAATATTGGAATAAATTTCATTAAAATTTTATTTGCAAAATAAAATACTTTTTACATTTTCTTTCTTTATAATCTATTGTGTATTATTTTGAAAACTTAATTTTAAGACGATCTTATAGGAAGAATGAAACAGATAAAACAGAAGAAAAATGAATGTATGATAATATTTTTTAAGAAGAGTTTTGAACAGGTTGACATTAAAATGTTGAATATAAGAAAGATCTCAAAAGAAACTTTTGACCGATTTAGAAATCTGGCCGTTAATGACCCGCTAGGGTAGATGCGGAATGTAACAATAAATAAATAAATTTAGAAAGCCTCCCAGCTTTGAGTAATCAAGAGTTTCTTTATTGCCTTACCTAATGGCTCTGTAGTTTAAAAATTAGATTTTCGAGCCATAAAGCTATCACATTAAAAGATTTTCGAAACTGAGATTAAAAATCAACTATCTCAAAAAAGCCAATTACAAGGTTATCTATCATGTAAAGTCACCGATAAAATGAAAATAATTGTTTTCCTTATTCTATTTATTAAAATCTACTGAATTTGAGATAATATAATATTAATAAAGAATAATAATAAAACAACAACTAAGAAAGCATAGTGATTAAAACAAGGCAATAATTGAAAAAATATATCAAGATATCATTGGAAGAGATTATAAGAAATGGTGAAGAATTCAAGTTGTAATATCAAAATTGTTTTGACATGCCAATAATAACCAACCTTTCTTTTGTTTGTGTAGTTGGAATTCCTACTAGATCCTTGACATTTTCTTCTGTTATAGGACTGCAATAGCGATATACTACTTATTTGCATAATAATTGATTTTTGGAATAATTATTTTAAATGAACTAAATTTTCCTTAGACTAGTAACATAATATATAAAATTCAGTATGACAATTACATTCTTAAAATTTAAAGATATAGAGTTTAAAAACTAATAAGTAACAATATCTTCCAGCAAAAGGTCGAGTTGGTTAGTACGACAGTGAGGATGACGAACAAAACCTACTCGCTCAGTAGGCAACTATCTAGTGAGTTTAAACAATGTATTATAAATAGATTTTCTTCACAGTTAAGGGAAAGAATAAAGAGGTGGATACCTGCAGTTAGTTGACTAGCAACCATGAAGTCACTTGGTAATTTCACTTTAATCCATTTCATGCGAATTCAAGATTTGAATGAATAGGCTGGTTCGTTGTTAAGAGTGTTGCCAGGATGTGGGTGAGCTTCGAACCAACACTTTGACAGAGTTGGTGACAGGGCAATGCCACCGTTGCCAACACTCATTTCCACTCTTATACCCATTTTTTTTTTAATTTCCTCCTATTTTTTGACTATGCAATGTGTAATTCTCATTTGCAAAACTAATTATTGTATTTCTGTTTTAATTCAGCTTAAACAAGGATTTTATAGTTGTTTTTATTTCAAAGGAATATGTAATTTTCCTATAATTTTATTTCACATCATAAATGAAACTAATTGTGATGAAGGACAAGAAGAAAAAACAAAAGATTCAATATTGATCTTGTGATGATAGGCTCCTTTAATTAAAAGCCACAGCGACTCAAGTAAACTGCTGGAATTTTGTCAAAGATCTTTAGAAAGTAGTAGGTAAATAAATGCATATTATTCTAAAAATATAATACTTAAGTATGTCATGGATCCATGAAAAAATAAATCCTTAGCCATGAATACAAGGAGTGGTTTCTTTTTTCATTCATGAATTTTTTAATTATTTTTTTAATTATTTCATTCATGAATAATGAGAACTGTGAATATTGCTTTGATTGTATTGCATATACCATCGGTTGGAAATCTTTTTACCAATAGTGGTTGTAATAAGATTAGGCAGTGATAATGGAGGTCAAAATATTTTAGATTTTATTGTTGCTTTTTTTATTTGGGCGTTTGAGTTCACAGAATGACTAACTCCAATTTCAACATTTTTTATTATTAATTTTAGAAATATTTTAAAATGGGGGTCGTGGTGGTCAAGCAAGGTCCCGCTCACGCAATTTAAAACAAAAGAATATAATTAATAATAAATTTAAATTTAAATAAATAAGTGCAGTCCCTTCTCGATTGCTTAGACCACTAAGGCGCGGGTTCGATTCCTGCATGGAGACAGTAACATTCCCAACCTGAGATTCACAGGAAGGTGAGCGACTCCTGTAATCTTCCAACAATACAGCTCCTGGTCCTCCAGATTGGGAGTTGGGCACAGGGCCATTGACCCTATCCCGTAAAAAAAAAATGATGAAGAGGGAGCGATTAGTGATCGCATCCAGTTATAAAAACCACATACTCCCTGAATTTCTATATGAGTATAAGAGAACCAAACAATCACAGCTATCGCCTTAAAAAGCTATGGAGCTGCTAGAGGACTAATGAGGGAGGTCAATAAGTCAAGAGGCGTTTAAAAAAAAAAAAAAAAACTTTACTAAAAAACGTTGAAATTGGAGTTAGTCATTCTGTCAACTGAAAGGCTCAAATGAAATACACACCCATATACATAATCTCAACTTAATTAAATATTAATTATTTCAAGCACTATATTTATGAAGACTGTGCAAAAATGCCCACAGACCAGTGAAAAAGTAAAGTATCCTCGTTTTCAACTTTTCTGACAGATTCTATTCTATCTACTAGTTAGCTAATGAAGTTATCTTATAATAATTATAATCTTATAACAACTGGATACGAACATCTCAAATAAAATTTACCTTGATTTAGATTTCAATGTTAGTGTTTTTGGGAGAGGTTCCCACATTTTGTTCGATCCACGCCTTGTACCACTTCCAAAGTTCTTGATTGACTAAAAAAATCATGATTTCCATAGTTAAACATGTTTCCGTTCTGTAGTCAATAAAATATTTATAAATGATTTCTCTCACCTTCAGCTGTTTTTTCTCTATTGTTAAAGTTTTCATAACGAAACGGTAATCCCTTGAAAATTTGTTTAAATAAACTGTAAGTGTTACCATAATGCTGTTAATAAAAGCGATAATAAATTTAATGACGCTTATAATTTTTGATTTCAATGAAGGCGGAAGGGGTTCATCTATAAAAAAAAAAAAATAATAATAATTATTATTATTAGGCAAAGTGGGTTTCGTCAAGCAGACAGTAAAATTAAAATTGAAATATAATTTTAATACCGTATTTGATCAAATATAGATTAAAGTTTATTCTTGTAATTTTCTCAAGAAATATGTAAGTTCTGCTCATAATCAAGGGTGAGCTATATTGGACTTATGTTGGATTTGATCTAGGAAAGTTCGAGTTCGAGTAACCTCAGGGCTTTTAATTCACTTCATAGTTTATTTTTGTTTCTACTTTTGTAATGGAGATAGCAAAATACTTATTATCACACATTTTAGTGAGAAAAAATTAAATTAAAAAATACTTGTAGAGATTGGTAAGTAGTCGACTGATTAATTATAAGGACAAACAAATTTGTCAGGAATTTTGTTTTATCTGAAATTTAGAAATGTGTTTAATATGGGTAAGTCAAAATGTCCAAGGTAAATGGTGTGTTTAAATAGAGAATTGATAAAAAAAACAAAAAAAAAAAAACAAGATTATATAAAACCAAAAAAAGAAAAATAGCTGATGTGAATGGTATTGAAAATTATGATTTGAGAACATTATTATTAAGTAAGTTAAAACAGAAACAAAAATGTAAAACACAACTTGGTACAAATTAAACCGATTAACATTCAAATTTCAATTTAAAGTACTTCACTATTTAGAAAGTGGTTATAAGACCAAAAAAATCATCTCATGGATATAGCAAATTAAAAATATTTTTTTCATTTAACAACTAATCAGCAATTTCTTTAAATTCTTGAAAACTCAATTTAACAATTTCAGTTAAGGTATATATATCATAATTTCAAAACTTCTTCATATTTAAAAAATATTTTTACGTTATTCATCTATGTGGGAAACTTATTTAAACATGTTTGTTTATTTTTTAGACTTTAATAATAAATTTGGAAATGGATTTCCAATCAGCAGTTTAATTTTTCCTATTCCATATTTTTTCCTCAAAATTATTTTAGTAAAGGGGTTGACCTATTTGAGCAAATACGGTTTATTCAAGAAGAAATATAGATTTCATTTTTTTACCTGAAATTGACAAGTCATCCTCGTCACTGGAAAGAAAAAAATAAAATAAATAAATACACAACATAAACTATCAATCATACTAAAAAAAAAAAAAAAATTAAAAATATTATCAACATACATGCTATCATCATCACCAAATTGAATTCTCTTTTCTCTATCATCATCCGACCTAAAACATTATATAATACATGACAGTATACAATAGATTTAAAAACAGAAATTATTTTGTACATATTATTTTAAAATTATGAAACTAACTTATCCTTGTCATCTCCTTCACGACTTGTTCCTGGTTTAGGCTCAAGGGCTTCCATTATTTTGGATAGTTTCTATAATGAATTAATAATTGATACGTTAATACAATTAAATTATAGGTATTTAATTAAAGAAGTTAAATAAAAAAAAACTATAAGGAGAAATTATATAATTTAAAGGAATTATGATTATACTAGCTAATAGAATGTAATTATTAGATTTGATTTAGTAAATACAATAATTATTGATGTCAAGAATCTATATAAATAAAAATTGTTAATAATTCAATTCGCCATTTACACAACAAAGAGTTATGTGGGACACATTTGCAAAGTGATGGTTAAAGCACTGAAACTTGTTAAGTTTTTTATAACTCATTAAACATTAATTAATACAAGAGTCACTACAAACAAAATATTTTTATAAAAAACAATTTAAATTGTGCTAGTAAAACAAACAACATACATAAGTTTTATTTACATCAAATTTTATGAAAATTAACGTGGAAAAGCTGGAATTTTTTTTTTGACCCAAAAAGGAGAAAAAATGTATACTTTTTGAGTTCTTCGCAAATGTAATTTTGAATTCATCAAAACTTCTATTCAGGTCCTTTTTCGAGGTAGTACGTTATATACATAAATTCCCTGGAAAGTTTTTATCAATACCGTTACAGCTGTTTTAGTGCTGTAGCCTATAATGAAAGGGTTTTTCTGCCGCCATCTTGAAACAAAATGGTGGCTGGTGGTGAGACCCCCAAAGGAACCTCTCCAACACCAACTTAATATAGATACAAAATTTCAACCTTCCAACTTTGTTAGGAGAAGCTTTGGAGATACACAATACTTTGAAAACAGGGAAAACATGAAAAACGCTCTTACCTGCAGAAATTTTGACGTGATTTTTCCAAAGTTTAATAGTATTGTTCCACCTGGGAACCAACACTATATACCGCTCGGGCAAACAGGAGCTGCTGGAGAAGCCGAAATGTAGCGGAAAAAAAAAATATATAACTGACATCTCTAGAAATAGCAGAATCATATTCTAGAGGTTCCAAAACGGATAGAAACAGCAACCCTGCCTTCTACTGACGAATTTCGATACAGTGCAAATAATCTATTATTTCCAAAGAAAAATAGACAATTACACAATGGTTCATTAATAATAGAGTTGTTAGTAGACACCAAATAGATAAGCAAATCATGATCATAAAGAAAAGAAAATTCATGAACCTTCAGGTATAACTTTCAGAAGCAAAGAGTTTAGAGAAAAGATCAATAAGAGAAGAAAGAAAGTTACAAGACGTTGGAAGAATCATGGTATTAAAAAGGAAAAGAAATCAGAAGAAAAGGAAAGTGATATAGGAGAGAAAGAACACTGCAAGGGCGAAAATTAGGATTAAGAAAAAAAAGTAATAAAAGCAGCTTCAGGAGGGTTATAGAATATTGTTTTAATTTATTAATTTTGTAGATGTAATTAATATTTTAATAATACTATTATAGAAAAGATGACAAAACAGTTCTTCTTCTTCATCCATTGGCTTCACAAATCAATTAATGGTCTCTGGCCTCTTCTTATAACTACTGCCAATCTGCACTTCGTTGAACAACTGTTGTCCAATCTCTGACCCTCAAGATGTTCTACATATCCTCTTTTAGACTCTCTATCCACCTAAGATATGGTATCCCTTTGTATCTGGTTCTGTGAATGTCTTCATTCATTATTTCTTTGGGGATAACAACCTCTGATACACAATCTACACGCTTGGCCATCTTTATTCTTCCTGGTCTATTCTTATTATTACTACTAATAATGTTGCTTGCAATGTCTAATTCACAAAGAAGATTATAAAATTCTTTGAAGAACCGTTAGAGTTTGTTCATCCAAGGGTGAAATCAACCATGACTCTATTCTATATGTTAGCAATTATCTTATATTGTTTACATCAGCCTATAGTGTGACTTTGTCATCCATAAAAATGATGTTTATATTTAATTTCAGTAGAAGTCATGAGGTTATGTTAAAATGTAGTATATCAGCAAAGATGAAGGACTTGAGCTAATCTCTGTCATCACAGGAAAGACTGCCCTAGACTACTCAATACCGTTTTATCGGTCTTCTTGTAAATTAACTGAATCCTTAAAAAAATTAAGAATCAAAATTATACATTTCTAACCAACTATCAATGGATCTTTCTAAGATGTCGAAAGAAACTAGATCCACTATCTAATTACAAGCCTTGAAATCAGCATAACATTCTCCCAATAATACTGCATTCAACAATAGTTAAAGCTCTTACTAACCATTGTCTCAGCATATCCTTTGAAGAAACTTACTGCTTTTTCTATTCAGAAACTTACTACAATATAACCAGAGAAAATTAAAATATAATAATAAACAAGACCCAAAACAGTGCATTTCAAGGCTGAGCTTTGAAAAATTTGTGTTAAAAGCTATCAGAAAGACATGCAAAGTGTGTGTTAGCCATGCATCATTAACCAAACCAATGAATGATAAAAGTATAATAATAATTTAACAAAAGTTAGTTGATGCGAATAAATTCTGTTTAATTCAACATGTATATCAAAATTAACACGAAATCAATCAACACAGTCCACAGTCTAGTCCTCAAAAACTATGGAAAATTCTATTATAAAATATTTTAACATACCAATTATACCATATTAAACTTAGGGATTAAAGCGTCTGTTTATTTATTTGTTTCAAAGAAGAAACATGACAGTGTCCTACAAAATTCTCGTAATTTTAAGGTATTAATGGAAAAACATTTTCACAGCAACTTATGGAATTATTAAATATGAAGAGAAAGGTGTTCTTGACCAGAGCACTGCGCAGCGTTAGTTTGAAAAATTTAGCAGTGGAGATACGACTTTGCAAAGGAAGAAGGGCTCCGGGCAACCATTAATGGATATGGATGAGGCTCTGCAGGAAGCTGTTGAGTCAAATCTATCCACAAGTACTCATGAACTTGCCAGGGAGTGTGGTGTTTCGAAAGATACTGTTAGTCACCATCTACTCTCCATGGGTAAGGTGAAAAAGTAGTAGACTGGTCCCTCATGAACATACTCCTCAGCAATCAACTAAGATGTTTGAATTTTGTGAAAGTTTATTGAAAACCATTGCATGAAAAACTCTTGCTTCATCCACCATATATTACAGACCTCACACCATCGGATTACTACTTATTTAGATCCATGGCCCATTGTCTTCAAGGGAAAAAATTTGATAACTTTGTAGAAGTTGAAATTGCGGTCCAAGAGTTCTTTGACTGCCATTCCAAAGAATGGTATCAGTGTGGGATCGAGCAATTGGCTAGCAGATGGCAATGACGATAGATAACTGTGGACTATACTTTGAGAACTAATTGTATTTTATATCAAAGAAATAATAATAATATTTAATTGAAAAACGGTAATTTCTTTTTTATACACCTATATATATATTGATGTACATAAGCACATGATTCCCCTAATTTTATAAAATAAATTACAATTACTTTATAGTAATTAGAAAATGCTTAATTGACACAGAGAGTAAATCAACAGAAATGAAATGCCTTAATTCTGAGACACAGCCCATAGTGATCGTCATGAGTTATGCTGGGTTTGCAGAGTAGGGGTGATAATAATCTGTTCCAATAGCCTTATTTGCACACTCTAAAAGTGTTTCAGCATGGCACTTGGCTGTAAGGATTTTTAAAATAGCCAATTTAGCTGATAAAACTTTATTTAATTTCTAATTCATTTACATGTTATTTATTTTTTCAGTATCAATTAAATTTTTTTAAGATAGGCTGAAACCTAGGAAATCCAATAAACATTACACCAACATATTTTGTGACTGTTGAATGCACACCCGACTAATTTATCCTTAAACTAGAACTACGGTCAATTATTTTCATAACATCATGAAGCTTATTTAATGCCAACCTAAGATACAAACCTATGCTATATTATATAATATCAATAATAATAACTAAAAAAAAATGTCTACTACAAAACAAAGTTGCATACAATTTTTTTTTAATGTAATACATCATTTAATATCTATTTAGCATTTTTTATTTAATAGATTGTCTTTATTAATTTCTTGAAATAAAAAATAAGACATTATATTGCCTTACAATGCGTCAAATTGAATAGCTAACAAAAATTTAAATAATTAAATAGCATAAGTTTATACAAGAAACTAGGATATATTGTTTATCTATAATTAGAAGTATTGTTAGGTCACCATTTCATATTTTGAGTTTACAGGGTGTTTCAGAGATAAGTGGCCAAACTGCAAAAATGACCTGAGGACCTCAAAACAAGAAAAATATTTCCTCTGAAGGTACGTCCGCAAACGCTTTGTTTAGGAGATATTCACACCTAAAGATTTTTGATGTTATGAATTATTTGCGTTATATGAAATAAATAAAACCTATTTATTTGTTCTAACCACTTTATTAATTAAATATAAACATTAACATTCATATTAAATTTATTCAAAGTGATTTCCTTGAGCATTAAGACTGGCTCGACATATTTTTTCGACAGCAGCAGTGACAGAACAGCATTGGATATGTGTTATTGTTTCAAAAGATTCAATTATCCTTCTTCGTAAGGAATTAAGGTCATTGACAAGACATGCATAGACTTTTTGTTTAATGTCACACCAAACAAAAAAATCCAGTGGTGTCAGATATGGAGAGGGTGCAGGCCAAGCCATTGGTCCTGCACGGCCAATCCATTGATTGGAATATGGGAGTCCAGTCAATGACCTTAATTCCTTATTAAGAAAGATAATTGAATCTTGTGAAGCAATAACACATATCCAGTGCTGCTCTGCCACTGCTGCTGTTGAAGAAAGATGTCAATGCTCAAGGGAATCACTTTGAACAACATTTAATATGAATGTTAATGTTTACATGTAATTAATGAAGTATTTAGAACAAATAAATAGATTTTATTTATTTCATAACATAAATAATTCATAACAACAAAAATCTTTAGGTGCGAATATCTCCTAAACAAATTGTTTGCGGACATACCTTCAGAGGAAATTTTTTTCTTGTTTTGAGGTCCTTAGTTTATTTTTGCAGTTTGGCCACTTATCTCTGAAACACCCTGTATAGTGAGGATTAACTTTCTGTAGAGAATAGTAAGAATGATGCAGTATGATAGGAAGAAGTAAAGGTTAAACTTGACAAAAAGATTAGAGAGGAAAAATCTTGGGACAAGGAAGATTTCAGACAATTTGATGTTAAATGTATTATCAATATTCTGTTATAAGAGGGATATAGTGAGGAGAATGCATTGTAGACCAGGAAGTCAAGAAAGTATGGTTACCCCAAAGAGAAGAATAAACATTGAGAGATATGGAAAACACAGTGAATCCCTAAAATAAATCTGTCTATGAGTTTCTTCAATCTAGCAAGCAATGAGTCTAAGACACATCTAAACACTGGAAAAGTGGTCAAAATTGAAGATATATAGATTGAGTAAGGTAAATAACAAAAGAAGAAGATATGGCAGAAAAAAAAAAGATGAAAATAACATTAGATAGAGGGTAAGAATAGGAAATTTATTTTTGAGATATTTGGATTAACATTAGGGAGAAATGTTATGCACACAACAAAATAAATCCATAAGCTGAAGAGTTTTTTACATTGATTTCGCTACTTTTAAAAACTATCAGTACGATTGGAAAAATTATTTTTTGTTTTAGATAAGTTTAATGAGGAAGACTCTAGAGTTTATAGCATCACAGTATGACCCAATGGAACAGGGTGATATCCACAAATGTCAAATAAATATTGCAAAATAGTGGAAAAATTCATGTCAATGATAATTAGAAATAATTAGCACAGTTTGCAATTATCAAAAACATCTACCTAAAATAGAAGTAGCGGACCCAGTAACTGTAATCTCAGCAACAGTGAGTCCACCATGGATGCGGGACATCTTGACTTATTTCTTGCTATGTCATTTATGTATGATCATGAACTTTATGAAAATCAGATATATGAGGTGTGTGAAAAAAGATATGAGACTTATTTTTTATCTACCTAAGTTCTTATTTTTTTCAAACAACAATGTTGTTTCCTTTATCAACTATACACTATACAGCTATACACTGGCAGTCGTTTTCATTCTTGGTAGCATTACTGAAAGGCTTCAACTGGTAGGGTCTTTAAGGTGTCGGTCACATTCTTTTGAATGTTCTCAAGAGTTCCAAAACGACATCTTTTTAAGACATTTTTCATTTATACGTTCTTCTTTAGTTGGGATGTGTTGGTGTATTAATTAAGAGGTTGGCAATAAAAATTTCCTTTAATAAAAGCAAATATTGTATTAGTCAATTTTTTTTTTTTTTTTTATGTTTTGGGAATTATTTCCCATCTTCAGAACTCTTTCTTGCATTCACTTATAGTCAATAGCTATGCTATGTACACTCCTTCGTCTTAATTTATACATTTTTTTAAAAGTGTCAGCCAGAGACTACTCTGCATTGACATACACAATATTTCCTTGTATTAAAGGAAGTTTTTATTGCCAACATCATAATTAAGACATTTTTCAATTTTCGGAAAAGAAAAAATTAATAAGGAATCAGATCAGGTGAATAACAGATATGCCTTCTGAGTTCAAAAAGTCCATGATGGAAATGGCAGTGTGACACGAAGCGTTATCATGATGAAGCATTCTCTTGTTTGCAATGTTTTGTCATATATGAATAACCCTTTTCCTGAACAACAGTCTGATCTCACAAGAGTCTGCATTGATTCAACATTTTATTGGTTTTTGAACTTGAAGGTCTCCCTGAGCAAGATTCATCTTCAATATGCCTTTCAAAAATGATTTGCACCACCCAAAAATTTCTTCTCTTGATAAGAAATGTTCCCCTTAAGCGTATTTCAACTTTTTAAAGATCAAACCCGTGGATTCTCCAAGTTTAGCATAAAGCTTGATTGCATAACGTCACTCTAAATTTCACTATTCCATTTTTGTAACACACAACAAAAACAACTTAACTGATGGTACTCTCAAATCGTGTGATGTAGCTCTACAGTGCTAAAACTCGGACTGAACATCTGGAAGGGATGAACAAACAAACTAACAACACTGCATTTCCAAATCACTCCCAGTATTGTATGTCTTGTTACTTTCTCACACAACCCATATATACATGAGCAATAAAAGACTCACCAAGCCAAAAGCCAAGAGAAAGAATAAATAAAAACTTTTCAATCACTATAAATAAAGCATGGGATGAACTTTAAGGCACATTAGAGTCGATTTAAGGGATGAAAATTCTTTCCAGGGATGGTTACACAATTCCTTATATAAATCAGATTGTGAATGAAACTAAAGAACTAAATACGTGATTAATGCTGAAATACTGTATTCTTTAAATAATTTAAAAAAAAAAAAGTATTGGTAAAAACTTTGTTAATATATAACCCCATCAAACTGAGGACGCTTTCTATCAGGCCAGTTCCTTTTTTATTGATAGTTCCTTTTTTTTTTCGCATAAATTTCAGATGTTATTCAGTTAACCAGATGCACTTATCGAAACAGGCATGTATACTCCAAATTTAATGCGAGTCAATCTTCAAACATTACTTTCACACTTTTGATATACATATATTAATAAACAAGATGGAGATTTTTAGAAATTGAAAATCGTTTATTAATTAATTTATAGATAGCAGCTCATGCAACATACAAGCAGCGAGTGATTGAAAGAAAATCATGATTATAAAAAGAAATCAAACAATTATTTTGCGATATTAAAAACTAAAAACATTGAATGAACTTCTGGCAATGGTAAGGGTTCAGAATAATTAAATTAAATTTGGACCACTTAATAAATTTTTGTTTAAATACAATAATATTTAATATAACCTCCTATTATATTATTAATCCCATTAATTGCCAAATTAATTAAAACTTTTATATCCAAAACTATTTATTACTATTAAATAAACTAGTAAGGTGATAACTCACATGAGGTGAGTCAGGAAGGGAGGAGGCAGTCTTCTTCATAGGCTTAGCAGTACTTGGCAGCGGGACCGAGCTTCGCCGGAGGAGACTCTTTTTCCGTGCGCGCTCGTCGACCAACAAAGCTTTGTCAGCTGCGGTATCCATGTCGGTTTTCATGAAATCCCTTAGGAACTAAACACATATCCACAAAACACAACATGCAACAAATTCCATGCTATAACCCTCTCAATAAATCTACTAACCATCAATTCCAAAACCACAGCAATAATAGGAAGCAAAATATACGCTATCAAATTCATAAACATATGATAGGTACCAGTTGAGGTGGTTTCAAGAATTTATGGTATTTATAATAATACTAAACATCTAAAGTGATAACAAGAATTCAGTACTAATGATAAACTCAACATATCGCAAATAGATAAAAATGTTACAAACATTGAAGACAAAATTTTGATTTGTGTTTGTGTTCCTCTACTAGCTAATTCTAATAATTCTTTTAATTTTGTTTGTTTCTTTATTTGGGGTTCAACCTCCTTGTGTCGACCTACTAGGAATGGAAGGATGGGTTATCTATCAGGTTGCCAACCTATGTCTGCCAGAGTGAGAAGGTCAAGTTTCATTTCATGGGTCTGTCACAAAATGAATCTCAACCCGCCCAGGCAGAATTCAAACACATGAATCTCAGAAAAATACAGCTAAAGTCTCTAAGAATGAAGGATGAATAAATTTAAAATGCAACTAATTAATAATTTTTAATTCATAATATATAATATAATTCCACTACCAACTGGAAACTACGTTGATCCTTGAAACATGCATTACCAATTTTTGCTGTTAAATTTAATAATAATAAGATTTTTACCCTTCCGACGCTTTGCCTTTCTTTATCGATTAGTACATCACTATCCTCTGAGGAAGATTCACTCTCGCTAATTATGTCCAACTCTTCTTCAAAATCGTCGAACATGTAATAATCTCCTGACCTGATAGCTATAATCATTTCACATTGAAAAATTAAAAAATGCTCGAAATGATAATTAATTAGCATATTATTATTATCTTATTAAAAATATTATTCACGCTATAAAAGACATACTATATTAGGAATTTATTCAAATGAATATTAAATACAAGTAAGGAAATAAATAAAAGTATGTTTCTTTGGATTTAGTTTTAATTTCAAATTCAATATAGGAACTGAAAGATAAGGAAATTTGTTTATTTCATGACTTGATACAACTATCATATTTTTAACATTATGATATTTGTGAAGTCAAAAGAGAGAGAATCAAATATAAACAGTAATTTAAAAAAAAATATTTTTATTTATTTATGTTATACATGAGAGATCCTCCTTGGACACATCCAGCCTTTATAAAGGGGACACCCTTAATTAAATAATTAATTAAGGGGGAAAACCTGGTGGATGAGCATGATTATGGCCTGATCACCTCCCTGCACAACCGTTGGCTTTGAAACAGTACTTCTTAACAAAGCACTGAATCCAAAATCTTTCATGGGTTGTAGTGGTACAGGTTGTTATCATTGTTTGGCAATTACTTGAGTAAATGAGAAATAACTAATGATTAATTCAATGATTATGGGTAATGAGTATGATTAAATTACTCATTACTCGCATGGTAATGATTGATGAGTGATCACTCTTAATTGTTTAGCCATGAGTAAATCACTCATTACTCATTTCATCACCATGAGTAATGATAGAAAAAAAAAATTTTTCATTTAATCTAATATTTCTTTGGAGGCTGGGTAAAAATGTTTTATACTTATTAAAATATATTTAACAAAAAAGAAATGATTAAATTAAAGAAAACAATTTTTTTTATTGTTACTCATAGTAATAAAATGAATGATGAGTGATTTACTTACGTCTAAACAATTAAGAGTGATCACTCATCACAATGAATAATTTAATCGTATTCATTACTCATGATCATTAAAGTAATTTAATTACGCATTTACTCGAGTAATTGCCCAACACTAGTTGTTATACACGAACTATACTTTCAGAATTTGGCAATGTAGACTCCTGTTTTGTCATCACACTTTTGCTATTGATTTGGAAGTTTGGATATTTCTTAAAAGTTATAGAACAGTTGTCAGATAACTGTAAACGCACTGTTCATTTAATTTATTCAAGGATCTAAGCAAAAACTAGTCACAGCAGGACAAGTCTGGACTATAAGAGGGTATTTGAGGATTTTGCAGTCCATTTCTTCCAGTTTATGTCCTAGTCAAGATCGGAGTGCAAAACCTAGTGTTGTCATGAAGAAGGATGAAATCTCTAATGGGCATACCTCGTTTGTTTCAGCAGGATTTTTGCCAGCAATAAAGACTAGCATTTAGTTTCAAATTTACTGTTCATTGATAATGAAGAAAATCAATGAGTCAAACTCCTCTTGAATAAAACAAGAAATTATAGAACTTTTCCAGCTGAGTGAGTTTTTGACTTCACTAAATACCGTCGCTTCTTCTTTTTGACTTAGAGAGTAGTGGTGGACCTTGTGACTAAAATATTTTTTTAAAAGACCCTTGAAAGAATCACTTGAAGGAGAATGGTGCAAAAGCAATGAGTAAGTCAAGGATCATATGCAAAACTAGCTGACAAATTGACCTCAAAGTTTTCATTAATAATAAATATCCAAGCTTCCAAATCGGTGGCAAAATGTATAGATAATACAAGAAATTACATTGGAAATACTTGAAAATATGGTTAAAGTACAACATTAATCATTGTAAAAATTAATATTAAATAATTAATACAAAAAAAAAAAAAATCATCCTTTATATTTGATTCATCCTCACAAAAATTAAGTCTTAACAACAAAGTACAGAAACTCAAGGAAAATAAATAATCAGCTGCATTAGATAATTAATGATTTCCAATCACATTCATAAAATATTTTATACAGAACTTAAAACTTTAAATTAATATATTTAGCTTGAATCAATTATTGATGAAAGTAAAAAGAATGTAAGTTATTGAAACATAAATTTATTAGTATTATAATCTAACCCTAATGCGTTAAAAAAGATTTATTTCATTATCAAAAACAAGCAATCAAATGCAATAAAAACATGAATAATATTTAGCTCTAATGAATCATGCAGCGAAAATTCAAAGTACTATTATTTTACAGAATATATATACAACGGATAACTCCTATAAGGACGTTGAAGAAAAGGAGAAAATTATTTCCAGTACCAGCTATAAGGCAAGTGAAGATAAACGAAGTATTGGCTTTTCCTGGTAAGATCAGGTTAGAAAGAGGGAAGTTTTTATTCCTTTCACAAACCAAAAATATTTCAACAATAGTCTGTCTTATTGAACTTTTAATTTTTTTCATCTTTCAGTTTCCTTTCTTTTGGTAAAATGGTGGACATTTTTGTATAGCTAACACTCAGCTATCAGTTTATTAGTTTCAAAACTGCTACAATTGTGAAATTATTCTCTCAATGAATTGATTTTCTTTTGGTCATTAACCTGTCAACTCAGATAACACTTGTGTTGAACTTTTTTTCATCTTTCAATTTCCTTTCTTTTGGTAAAATGATGGGAATTGTTTCAAAACCGCAACAAATGTGAAATTATTCTCTCAATGAAATTGATTTTCGTTTGGTCAAAAAAAAATTATTTTTTTTAACACATGATTTATGATAATTATCAAATTTATACGAAAAAAAAACCACTTGTATGAAAAAAGAAAATAATAGACGTGGTAGAGTGGGGCAGAGAGAGATTCTAACAGTCTTATAAGTTTGAAACAAGATGATGTTACATTTCTCCAAAACTTTCCAGAGAGATCTGTCCCTAAATCCATTTTTAAATTGAAGGGACCAAAAAGTTGATGTCTTAACAAATCGGATGCTTTAACCAATGTTGTTGTATCCACTGTAAAGTATTTTAAATCTATAATAAAGAGCATAGAGGCTAGAAAGTATATTTGTTATAGGTAGAATCTTGCGTATATATAAAATAAACAACATTATTTCAGATGTAAATAGAGTATTCAAACCAATGAACAAAAGTAACAAGGTGAATATAAAAGTACAACTATCCACTGAGAGCCACATGATTAGTGTTTTGTAAAAAGGGAGAATTCAACAAATTGTGTATTTTCGAATTTTCACCTTTCCATTCATGACATAAATAGTTCTTAATGTGAAAAATTGGTGAATCTGTGACTTTAATATTTCAACATTCCTTTAGAAGATTTCACGATGTAGTTTTTAAAACATCACTTTCTAAAAACTCTTGTTGTCGAATATGCTCTCCTGAAAAGTAATGAGTTGTTGGACTCACTTTTTTTTTTTTTACAAAACACTGAAGACATATACTATTATTTCAAAAAAAATAAATTCTGCAGAAAACCTGAGAAAATTTCAATAATTTTAAATACCGTAGGAATACATATATGAATGTTCAAGATTTCATGAAGCTTTTTTTTTCTAATTATAACAATCTTTTATAGCAAAAAAAAATGTTAATTCATAAAATATGTAATATATAATTGTCAACTTTGTTAAGACCATTGCTAATATGGTTCATGTTGTTATCATATTATTCATGAAATAGGACACTTCAGAGTACAGAGATCTAACTTGAACGAAAATTGATCTATTATAAACTGCAATATAAAGATTGACCTACAAAGAATGTGATAAGAAATTGATGTTAGTATGGTCTACAGAAATAACATAGATTAACGAACCTGAATTTAATTTTTCTGTTCAAAACTCTAATATGACTAAACATTAATGTGTCTCTAAAATATACTTAAGCAATAATAAATAGAAATTATGATTTTCTAGATAGTATTTTTAAGACACATTTGCTGCTTTGAGGGAATGCTGTCACTGGATGTGAATATATAATCAGGGTTTTCACTTTAACAAACAGGCAAATATAATGAACATAATAATACAGGTAGAACAAAACAGAAGAAAAGCTGGACTAAAACAATAAAAAAACTAAGACCCCAGCTTGAGGTGTATTTACAGTGTTGTCAAGTTATAAGATAACATTTTTTACAACAGGAAATTAGAAAGAAGCTGCACAGGACATAGCTAATAGGCAAAAGGTTATCAATGAAGCAATGTCCCACTCCCACTTTGGCATGTACCACCATGAAATGAGGATTTGAGAAAAAAAATTTAAAACTTTTAATTTTAATTTTTCTCCTTTTCTACCGCTACTAAGGCAATAGATCTGTTTATTTCTGAGTTCCTTAAGTCCAAAAAAACACATTTTCAACAATTGGTTTCTGTATCTATTTGTTGCTATATCTAAAAACTTGAAAACTAATTAAATTATTTTAACTGAACAAGTATCCGTAAAATCAGCATTTTTTTTTCCAAAATATTCCGAACAAATCGCAATGGAAATCTATTTACTTTTCTTTGGATTTCAAAATAACTCAAAAACTATATATTTCTTGGAACAGTCCAGATGCTCATTTCAAATATAATTAAATTGCCTATAAAGTTAAATTTTAGCTAAAAAAAAAAGATTCTAATCCGACCAATATTAATGAAGACACAACAAACCATATGTGCATTGGACTTTGCACTCAATGTGATAAAGATAATTGTTTGAATGGACATCCAAGATTTTTTTTAATGAATTAATTCTTATTACAAATTTCTAGATAGTAAATATATAAAGTATATGTATTTACAAACGTAATATCTAACAGTAGTATAGAATGGAAAGAACTAGCAGGATGATAATAAAGCAAAGATAAGAGAAATTTGTTAACAAGAAATAGTGAGATCATGAATGATGGCATGATGAAAGTTAGTAAAAGATAAATCCCCACTGCCAGCTATATAGTTAGCTTACTTTACCCTTTATATTTCTATATCTGGGGGGAACGGATCGCAAACCACTGGAGTCATCGACTGCATCACTCTTCACTGACAAAAACAACTAATTTTATCATGTAAGTCATATTGTATTACTACATATT